TTGAATTATTACATCGGTATCCTGTCTGTGGAATGCAAAATTCTTTTTTAATAATATCGCTACTCTCAGAAGTAGAATGTTAAATCACATTTGAAGCTGGTAAATTTGACTCAACATAGTAGCACGAATTGCGCAAGTACTGCTTGCAGAGACCCTTGCTGCATGTTCTTTCAGCAAAAAAAAAAATTCCAGCACACTTGTTTTGCAGGTGTTTTGCCGCCTTGTCGGAAAGGGGAAAATAATGTAGTCCAAACAGATTGTCTAGTCTAGTCTATCCAGTTAGCATGGGCGACAGTAAAAACGCGACTGTTTTCTATTTCGTGAGTATTTGGAGATATTTACCTTGTTCATTCTCAGATCAAAACTGTAAGTCACCGTCTGCATACGCTGTGGTCCCTCCTACATACACGACGCTGACGCGGTTCTAAATATCAGTAGCAATTTCGAAAGTGTTAACATTGATCATCACGTGACATTCTGAAGCAAGTAAAAGTGCCTTCCAAATGGCAATTAATTGCTGACCTTTCTTAGGAAAGAAAACACCTCCTTCTGCCTCCACCTTGCTCTTTTATAAATTCCCTTGTGTTCCTAACCATCCTTCTAATATCAACTGTCAACACTGCCCAACATGCAGGCCAATATGATCCAATCCAAGACCAATTCAATTCACACACACTTCTTTTTATTCCACTAACCACTCATCCACGCACCTACCTACCTATCCACTTATGCAGCGAACTTCACAAATCCAGCCCTGCAAAATGCGAGATCTGATGGCCCAGATAAACCAAATTAAGTTCATCGACATTGAATGAGTAATGGAGGTAAATTTGTGGTCCAATATTTTCAAATGCATCGCATCAAATGAAGCACCCACAAGCAAAGCAAACGCCAATCCCCTATGTTCACAGAAATTTTTAAATACCACATAGCAACACCGAAAACCAGCCATTTCCTTATCATAAGAAAATAGTGGGTGGCTGTGGACGTAAAAGAGGGATTAGAATTAAATAGATTGAGTTCTGTTGATAGGTGCTGCGATCTTCTACTGCCTGCCTCAGTTACCTACAAGCA